GTGAACCTGCCCATCATGAGCTGTGTAACAGATGATTCTCATTTACCAGCGTCTTCAACACAGCTACAAGCCTTTCTTCTGGGCTACATTACTGCAGTTATTTTACAGTATTATTATTAGTAGTAAGTATTAGTTATTATTATGTAGTATTACCTTGTTTTGCATTGCATAATTACAAATCAGTGTATCAGTGGCTTCTTATTACAGTTATTAATTACCAGTATGTATTATTATCGTTTTATTCTTTGCACTGTTGTGCAGTTTTTTTTTGTATTACATCAGTGCTATAACCTCAGTATCTGAACTGGGTGGAGTGTGTGTATCTGTCCGTTCTCTACACTCACAGACACTTGGCAAGCCTAGAATAATAAATGAAAAACATGGGTGTTAACTAGAAGCACATGCAGCAGTTAGATATGACATGAACTTTGTTCTCTCTTCATATAAGTATCTTTCATAAATGTCAGCTTGAGGTAGAGAGAGTTACATTTGCACTACCAGTCAAAAGTTGAATTAAGAGCCAAGGCAGTAATACAGTAAAAACAAACAGCAATATTGTGAAATATTATTGCAATTTAAAATAACTCTTTTCTATGTGAATATATTGTAAAATGTATTTTATTGCGGTGATCAAAGCTGAATTTTCAGCATCATTACTCCAGGTTTGAAATGTTGTCAGAAAAGATATAGTAAATTACAATTTTAATTTTAAAATATATTCAGATAGAAAACAGGTATTTTAAATTGTAATAATATTTCACAATATTACTGTGTTTGAAGTCAAATATATGCAGTCTTGGTGAGCAGAAAGACTTAAAAAATGATTCCAAACTTTTGACCAGTAATGTGTATCTGGGCAACAAGTATAGATTTTTTTTTTTCTATCCTAAAAACAATTTGATTGTGTTTTATAATCGTTTTAATTTTGCTGAAAGCCTATAATAGGTTGTTTTAATGACAGGCTCCCACTGTGACAACATCCCCTGCATCGCTCTGAATATTTCTTCCTGGAAATAATGCTGGAACAATGTTCAATGTACTTTTCTACTTGAATGTGTGCGCTTACAGACTGACTTTATATCGATTTGAAGGCATAGTTCAGCCAAAAATGAAAATTTTGTCATCATTTACTCGAGTTGTTCCAAATCTGTATGAGTTTCTTTCTTCTGTTGGACACAGAAGATATTTTAAAAAATGTTGGTAACCAAACAGATTTTATATTTGTTACATACCCCATAGCATGTAAAAAAAGCGTCTGATTTCGCTTCCCTTGATGACGTGGCAAAGGGATCTCATTATAATATTACCGCCCCTTAATCTGTCAGTTTCCACCGTCTCCTTTAAAGCAAAAAATAATGAGAAATAGAGCAAGATTTTTTAAATATATATTTAAATTTTTGCTTTGAAAAGTATCAATAAAAGTAAGAAACATAAATTGTCATAATTTATACATATACAAAACTGTTAGACACATTATTAGTCACCGTTCATTGTTAACAAAGAACAAACTAAACCTCTGAAATAACTTGACAACTGATTGCTGTCCAGCTAATTACTATGTCTTGTTATGAGACCAGTTTAAAGAAGAGCTCACCCAAAAATGACAATTGCTTCTCAAGACATTAATTACACAAGCTTCAGTTTGGATCCAACCCTTAAAAGATCTGAGATGACCAAACACCTGAGAAGAGATGATGCCAACCCTGAAACAACATACAGAACTACCACATTTTGCTATAAGTTTGATAGTAACATATATTGATTGCTGTTTATAGTGATTATCGTCT